GCCTCTCATTGCTATAACAAATACCTGAGGTAATCAGCTTATAAAGTGAAAAGGTTTATTTTGGCCCCCAATTTGGAGTTGTCAGTCCATGACTGGTAGGTCATGTTGTTTTGAGACCTATAGTGAGTGAGGTGGCACACTGTGATGGGGAGGATGTGGCAGAGCAAAACCATTTGCCTCATGGCCAGGAAGTAAAAGAGAAAAAGCAAGAAACTGGGGTTCCACAACCTCATTCAAGGGTGTGCCCCCCAATGACCTATGACCTTCTACTAGGTCCCCCTTCTCAAAGTCTTCCACCAACCTCTAATAGTGCTGAGGCCTGGAGACCTTTGGGGACATTGAAAATCCAAACAATAGCAGGGCAGAAGAGGCAGAAGAGACTCAAGTCTAACAAGGTTTCCATCCACTGCTGCTGTTGTAAAAGACCAAAGGAGACAAGAACCAACAATGAAGCAGCTCTAGAAACTGAGATCCTCTCCCACCCCCAGCTCAACAGCTAGTCAGGAAATGGGTTTCCCTCTGGTCCAAACTCGATCTGCAATGAAATTACACAGCATGTAAATGAATGAACACAATCTTGGCCCAATAAAGCTTTATTTACAGTATAAGTGGTAAACCAACCCCTGCTGTAAATTATAATCCCGTCCTACTATTGTGATTGGTGAGATATTTGCAGTCATTTCTGGCATCTCATCTTATTCTTTTTATTACTTTCTTTATTTCTATATTTTCATTTCTTACCTTCTTTTTGGCTCTGTGTTTTGTTTCCATTTTTCATTCTCTTTCTTATTTAAAAGCAAAATACATTCTCTCTTCTCTTACAAATAAACAGGGCAAAGTCTAATGACCATTATCCATCTGAATTATACAAGCCCTGTAGAATTATTTAATTCTTCACTTACATGCAATCCTTTCCTATCACTTTACTTCTGGTTTGATTTTTTTTAATCAACAAACTAAGCATTAGTTCCATAGTTTTATATGGTTAATATCACTTTGATTCATCCATACAGTATCATTTTTTTGCTTGCAGTCAGGTTCTTTCTTTACGACTTATGTCTAGATGCTCCTTTTGTGAGGTTCTGGTAGTGAGAAGCTCTGTATTTTATGACGGAAATACTCATTGTTGGAAGTTAATTTGCTTCAATAGAAGTCTAAGTGGGCTGGCGTTGGTATTTTCTTTCAGTACTGTAGAGGCAGCATCCCACTGTTGCTGGCTTCCATGGTTAGGAAATCAGCTGTCGGAATAGTTGTAACTTTGTACATAACCAGTGTTTTCTTTGTCACTCTTTTCAAATACTGTTTCTTCCTCATTCCCTGTTAGCTGCTCCTAGAACTCTAGCTAGAGAAATTTTGGACTTTCTTGCCTTTCCCCCTCATCACTCCATATTCTTTTCATATTCTTCATTCATTTGCTGTCTGACCTGCATTCTGCAGAATTCCCTCATTCCATCTTTCAGTTTATAGATCCTCTCTTCATCTGTTTCTAATTTGCTAGAACTCATCAACTGGGTCTCTAGTTTCAATCATTCGTCTTCCATGTCCAGAAAAAAAATGGATAAGGCAAAGAAATTTATTTCTTTTTCATATCTCCCTAATTAATTATGGTAGTCTCTTACTCCATTATTGTGCTTACCATACTTTCTCTTATTTCTCTAAATATATGAAATATGGTGGGGTTTTTTTGTTTTTGTTTTTGTTTTTTGTAATCTATATCCAGCCATCCCAACACCTACAACCTTGGCTCATCTGATTCTATATTTTTGTTTCTGCTGCTTTTCAGTCTTTCATGAATTTTTCACTCTTTGATTGTGATCCCAGGTTCTTTGGAATTTTGTTTATGTAACTTCTTTGGGGTTTGGCTTTTTAAATCACTTTACTCCATAGAAGATATTTTTCCTTCAGTTAGATTCCTAGATGTATGACCAATCTGGGAATATTTTGAATTAATTTCTTTTGCATTGAATTTTTTAAAGGTAATCTGATAGTATGAGTTCTTTTTGCAAACCCTTCTGTCTGAAGCTATGTGGTTTGGAGTTCTCAGAGAAAAGTCCTCACCCCAGCCTGGCCTACCACGGAACCCAGCCTGAGACTGGCGTGACTCCATCTTCTTTCTCCAAGTCTCTCTTCTGGGAAGCCTCCTTCCCTAATTTCCTCTGGTGAGGATGTCATACATCAGGAGCCCAGGTCATTCACCTTCCACCCTGCTCTGGCTCCAGGTTTTGTACCTTCTGCCTCTGTTCTCTGGGTCTGTAAGCCCCCAGGGATTGGGCAGCCTGGACTAGAAAAACAGCCCACAGCAAACCCCAGATTCCTCCACCTTTCACAGGAGCATGTTCTCTTTCTTACCCTGGTCTTTAGGGATTTCTCTTCCCTTCCCACCAGATCAACCATGCATTAAAAAAAAAAAAATGTTGCTCACACAGCACTTTTAGATGTACTGACCAGGAGCACTCACACTCAGTGTACAGCATGCCACATCACCAGAAGGAAGAATTTTGAAATTTTTTTAATGATTAAATCATTTTTTTCTGCAATCTATATGACTTTCTGCCAGTAAACAATTTTAAGCCATTGCTATAGGACGTAAACTTCTGGACCTCAAAAACAAAAAACATAAGGTGGGGGTAGAATTTCAGGGTTTAATGATGGCAATGTGGCTGTCTACCCCATATCACCAAGAGTTAGGACCTCACATGCAGACATGTGGGTGGTTAAGATGCATGCTTGGGTACCAGATCTTCTAGTGATTCACAGCTTCATCACTGAGCTCCATCCTTTCAATATCCCAGAGCCTAAGCAAGTTTTCTGGGACCTGTGGTTGCTTTTTGGCAACTAAACTGATTGGCTTTGCTTGAACAAAGCTCTCACGAATAGCATGATGTCCTCGAGTTATGGAAAGATGTTGCTGAGAATGTGATAGAAGTGAAATTGGCTTCACCCCAAGGACCAGCTTCAAGCAAGTCTTGTCTGTGGTGCCTCAAGGATGGCCTCGTATGTTCTGCCTCTTTCATGGAGTCCTATTCCAGATGACTGTCAGCTTAGTGCCTTCCTGACTTATGCCATTTATTCATTAACTCAGCCAAAATGTACTGGGTGCCTACTGTGTACCAGTACATATGGATTTAGGGATTAGGTTTTCAACACATGAACTTCCGGCCAGGCACTGGAAGTATGAGGACAACTCAGATGTAACCTTGGCCATGGATGAATTTGCTTTCTGTTGGAAACAACAGGGACATAAATACCGGTTCCTACAAAAACTGTTACATGCTGAAACTTAGATATAAATACAGTTATTTTCTTCAGAGGACTTATTTATAAAACCTGAAAAACTTTAATATTTAAAAAGGATTTAACTGTGACGATGAAATGATGGAAGCTGGATATGTATTTGGATGGAGTTTGCTACTCACCAGAGTCCACATCTTCCAAGGCCTCACTGGGCTGTGAAAACCAAGAATGATCCTTTGCTATGTGGTGCCTTCTGAACACAGCCGCCTAACCCTCTTGCTCCACTCCTGCCCGCTAGAAAACTCTAACAGGTGACAGTCTGGGCAGAGCTTGGCTCTCAAAGCACAAGCAGGCTGTGGGCTGAAACTTACCCCCAAATGCCCTACTCCCAAATACATATGGATTTAGGGATTAGGTTTTCAACACATGAACTTTTGGGGCATACATTCGATCCATAGCAAGTCAGAGATAATCAGCCCTTGGTGACATGAATAATGGTAGGGAACATATTTGATAGCTTACCCTCTTATAGATCCTGAAGTAATTCCCATTACCACTTAACCTTATATGTCAGATACTCATTCTGAGAACTTAAAGAAATGAACTCATCCTGGGTGTGGTGGCTCAAACCTGTAATCCTAGTTACTTGGGAGGCAGCCTGGGCAAAACGTTCATGAGACTCCATCTCAACCAAAGGCTGGGCACAGTGGTGCACACCTGTCATCCCAGCTATGTGGGGAAGCACAAATAGGAGGATCCTGGTCAAGACCAGCCCAGGCATAAAATAAGACCTGATATCAAAAATAACCAACACAAAAAGGGCTGGCAGGGTGGCTCAAGTGGTAAAGCATCTGCCTAGCAGGCATGATGCCCTGAGTTCAAACCCCAGTACTGCCAAGAAAGAAATAGGGAAGGAGGGAGGGAAGAAGAGAGGGAGGGAGGGAGGAAGGAACTGATAATCCTCAAATCTCTCAATACATTGGGATTTTGTTTATTTTTGTTTGGTTGGTCAGTTGCCTCCTAAGTGCTAGGATTATAAGCATGTACCATCACATCTGGCCACATTAGGCATTTTTTATTTCCATTTAAGACATAAAAACTTTCAGCAAGTCTAAGGTGTGTTTCCAAAGTCATCCACCTGAGAGGAGCTGGGATTTGAACCCAGGCAGCTGGCTCCTGGGTTAGGCCCATAGACCTAACCTCTGGCTGTCTCCAACTCCCAAAGCCTGCTTCTCATCATTTCCTGCTCTAGTTCCTGTCCCTTCTGTGGCAGCATTTGTAATTCCCCATTTTCCAGGCAAGAAGTGAGGAAAACAGTATGTAGGAGAAAGGTTAAAAGCAAGCATTAGAGTCACACAGTCTCTGCACTTACCAGTATTGGGTCCTGTTCAGCTCATCTAGTCCTCAAAGTGCAGTGAAAATTAGTACTCGCTTCACACCTGAAAACGTGTCTAGGAAGAAATATGTACAGGCATTTGTCATCCTGCCTGCATTAAACACCTGCTAGATGTTATTGATTCCAGTTATGCAAAACAAGAGAAGAGAGAACCGACTCTCACTATTGTGAGCATATACCAAGTGCCAAGAACACTGTGTCCCACACGTCTGATAGCTGTCCAGTGCTTCTCAAAGTAGTTGGTATTTGATTTCTTGCCTGAAGGCACATCCATCTTCAAGAATTGCCATATGAGCACTTCAAGGATCCTAAACTTCAATCCCAGTATAAAGACTGAAATTTCAACTCCCTTTGTCTCCTTTTGTCTCAGGCCTACAGAGTTGATGAACGAGCCGCAGAGCAAGCTCGATGGGAAGAGGCCTCCAAGGAAACCATCAAAAGAACCACCAAGCCTTGTCCTCGCTGCAATGTACCTGTTGAAAAAAATGGTGAGTGTGGGTCAAGCGGAATGCCACGATGTCCTGGGCTCTGCGTGGGAGTGCAAGCTGGACGGAGGTGGCAGTCAGGGATTCTGGAAGAGTTTACAGCTACGTGGTTAAGTGTAGGCCATCCTTGGAAACCATCCATTGAGCTTAAATCTCAGTTCTTCCACATCAAGTTTCTTAGCCTCTCTGAGCCCCAAACCTCAAAACTAACCAGATCTCTTTGCAAAAGGGATTCTGAAATGCACAGTATGCAGTTGCATACAGAAAGTGGGGATGACCACAGGAGCAAACACCCTGGGTGAAAGGCCCGTCCTGGGGCTGTGAAGCAGAGTTACTAGCTGAAACTCCCTGGTGGAATCACGTTTAGTAACATGTGACATCATGCCCATCACCGCTTAGCCAGAGCCTGGCAGAGGAAGCACTGGCTAACACCAAGGGCCCTCGTTAATATAGTGTTAAACCCCTGGGTTTGCTAAATGGTCCATGATTCTAACAACAACAAAGTTAGGGAAACTTCTTAGTTTACCTAAGAAGAGAGTCCTCCATGGGACTCTCATGCCCAGAGATACTCAAGAGCAAGGAAGACCTCCAGGTCCACTCAATTGACAAATATTCTGCTACATCTCTTGGTTGATGACAATAACAAACTTGTATAGAGCACTTGCTAAGTGCTTGTTTTAAACCCTACTGGGATCAGAGCATTTAGTCCTCCAGAGACTACAAGCTGAAGCTTCTATTATCCTCACTCACAGTGTGCCTTAGTGTATTAAAGCACTTTAGAATTGCTTTTGTAATGAAATCTGGTTAGTTTTGCTTTCCAAATTTTCTTGGCCATGAGTTATTTTTAATTTTGTTTCTCTTTTTTTTTTGTGTGTCACACTTGTTAATATCCCTTTGAACACTGGAATTCACTTTGGGCTTGGTTCCCCATCCCTGCTGTGGAGGAGTTAATGTCTTTTTATGGTGCCTGACTTCTCCATGAAAATATCCTTCACATGAATGTGTTTTCAAAAAGGACATTTTCAATTTGCTTCCTATTAAGTCCTTTCTAACATTTAAGACTTTGAAATGAGTATGTGACCTAAATGAAATGACTATAGCACAAGTCCTCCAGGAGCCATGAGTATGTTCTACTTTGCAGTCAACAAGCTTAGAATCACAGACATCCACATCCAAATGGTTCTTCTTAACCAGTTCTCTCACCAGAAGGAGCCACCATCCCTTTCTTGCCCATTCAGTCACATCTACTCATCCTCATAAACACTGGGCCCCAATGGCTGTGGGAAACCCACAAACTCTTAGGCTGAAGGATGTGCCTCCCACCTCCTCCTTCCTAAGTGGGGGCCAACTCTCCAGGAGAGTAAAGATGAGCTAGGCTCCAGGGTGGCCCATTCCTGCTTGCATGGCCTGGTCTTAGCACTGCAGCTGGAGCCCTTTGAGCATGTATTACAATCACCAAAAATGTTTATAGATTCCTTCCTGGGCCTCCATCCAAGGCCCACAATCAACATTTGAAGTTCACACATCTTGTCTTACATGTTGCTCTTACTTCTGGGAGGTTGCCAGAAGTAACCTGTTTCTCCAGCTTCTCATGCCTGTTTGGTGTACTGTGGTCCGAGGACTGAAATAGAACTTGGGTTCATGTCACCAATGTCATCTGTGTCTCCAGCTTCTGGTTCCCTAAACCTGTGATCCATCCCTGAGCATGTCCTCCTTGCTCTGTGACACAGGCTATCCATGTGCCCTCCACAGAGTTGGGCTAAAGACTAAATGAGATATTGTCTGCCAAGGGCTGGACAGGTAGAGTAAGCCCTCAATAAACACTGTTCATCTTCGTCATTTTTCTGCTCACACAAGAATATTTAATGAGAGAGCTCACGGCCACATCAGGCAGAGAAGTAGCATTTATGTGACTGGGAAGGATATAAATATAGAAGGTAGGAGGCAGACGTTGGACATAGCTCAGGATAGTCAGCTAGTCAGGCGGTGGCTGTGGCCTTTCATTTCTTAGTGGCCCTCTCTGCTCCGAGCGCTGCCCTAAAGGGTTGCATTGTCTGTGGGCCACCAGCATGTAGCCTCCCAGCTCTGCAGCACTATTGAAGTTAAACTCTAGTCTGTATTTAAGGTGTCCTCTGGCTGGTCCCACTCGCTGTGACCCTGATACCTTGCATGGCTCAGTGGAGCACCTGCAGCCATCCATCCTGGCTGTGGCCTCAAGTTTAAAACCACCACATCTGCTGCTCACAGAGCCCTTTCTAGATGTGAACCCCTGTCCTTGCATGAGATGGAGTCAGCAGGATTATCACAGAAATTGCAACGTTGTGGAAGGACAGCTTTTCCAGGTCCCCTTCCAAGCACTGGCTGCACCAATTGGAGGCTGCTAAGAGCTGAGTGAAAGCTGGCAAACCCTGATGGGTACTCACGTCTCTCTTTCCTCAGTTGTGTTTAGAAAAATCTTTGCCAAAAAACAAAGTGTGCTGACACTTCCCAGAACTGCAGGAGCAGGCTTAGCTCGGTCCAATCCTGAATCAGTGGTCTCCCAAGAACAGAAAAAGAATGTACCCAACGAGCCCTTCTTATTCCTTCTCATGCCTGAATGCTCTAGAAATGCAGTGGAGTTAGCATGCACCTGCAAAGAGCAGAAGGATCAGTTGGATCAGAGAAGAGGCCCTTTTGTCCTGCCCACCACTCCCAGGCTGAGTGGTTGTGTGAGCAAGTGGAAGGGAAAGAAAATGCAAAAACCCTTCCCAGCAGGATCGATGGAACTGGGGCCGTTGTACAGGGATTTTAAAAACACAAATTAAATGGTAAGAGACCATTTTGCTAGTATCCCAGGGAAATGCAAAAATGAGTCAGGCAAGGAAGAAGGAGAGAAAGCCTCCTAGGCCCATAGGACTGCACATGCAAGGGCACTGGTGTATGAACATACCCATGGACAAGTGTGGGAAGCCCCTGCTGCTGGTGTGCCTGGGCATAGCATGGTGGGACACAGGATGCAGGGCCCTGCATGGCAGACAAGGGGCTTAACCAAGGTCCCCTAAGACAGGGAGCCATCCAGGACAAAGGATCAGGTTAGATCTGCCTTGTCGCAGACCACATCTCAGGCATGGAAGATGGGGATGAAGGAGCCAAGTGACTCTCCTCTAGAAGTTTCCCAACTGGGTTGTCTCTTGGAAATATTGTAGTGTCCTTAAATGGGAAGACTAATATTCATCTCTAGATTTTTTAACTTCTGAACTGAAAAGCTAAAATTTTAAGCATTTTGGTGATTGCCTGTGTGGTACAACATATACAGGCTCTCACATCAAGGATTTCATCTTCCAGTCTCCTCGAGGTTCAGGGTGCATTTCATATGGAGCAGAATCTCAGAGAAGCAGTTCTTCCAGCAAGAACAATTTCCACTTTAAAAGCAGGGTAAAACCTGCTTGCTTGCTCCTATAATTACCTTTTAGTCCCCCAGAGTTTTTTCTTGTCTCAAACAGATGAGATTCTGCTCCAATGTCCCATCAGTAGGAGACTATGCCAGCTAAATGTGCCTTCAGGTTACTCAGAAGCTTGTCTTGCTGGAGCAGAAGCTGCTGGCCAGAGCCAGGGCAGGTTTGACTGTCAGTCTGGAGACAGAATTCACTGCAAGGGAAGCCATAGTCCCTTCAAGTCAATATCACAAATTGGTGTGGTTTGCATTTATCATCATGGCTTACTTAGCAACACAGACGCGCTCTGAGAAATGTGTCATAGACAATTCTGTCTTTGTGGGCACACCATGAAGTGCACTTATGAAGAGATATGTAAGTTTGAGATGCTTTAAGGCCAGTGTAAGTAGGAGAATGCTCTAGAGTGATAATGAAAAGTATTGTATGACAATGTAAACCAGTACCAAGGCATCTCATTACCCTCAGGTATTGCAGACATATAGGTGTACATGCTGTGCATAACTGTAGAAATACGACTGACAGCACAGTAGCTGTGTTTGCACCAGCATGAGCACAGACTCATGAGCACTACACTGTCTGCACCATGGTTTTTCCGCTCCCTTCACATCTTATGCAACCCCATCACACACGTGTTCCTTTGCTGACCAAAGCATTACTACGTCAACTGTTCTGTTAAGCTGGCAAAGTGCTAGAGTTATAATCCCAGATGCTCTCCTTCTTATGGGATCTGATGGTGGCCTTGAATCTGTTAATCACCAGGAAGGAAAAGAGTTCATAACATGAACGATCTCTCTTCTGACTTCCTGCCTCGTATTCTCCTGTGCCATTGTGATCCTAGTTTCTATAGTGAAATATGAATTGTAATGCTAGGCTTCCAGGTGCACAAGAATTTTGGTACAATAGGAAAACATTCTCACTGTTTCATTTAGAAGTCCTTTAATAGTTTGCGGAGGTTAATGTATTGCTCAATGATTCCATATGACATTTTGGAGATTCCTGAGTGATTGTATGGTATCAGACTCTTTTACTGTGATGTATACATCCTAAGATACAACCATTAAGTATGTTGATAATGATATTGTCCTAAATAAAGAAACTTTAATAGGAAAAGATAAGTTTTCTCCTTATTTTTCACACATCTGTAATTTTTTATGATTTTTCAAACAAAGAGTAGAAAAATAGTTTTAAATGCTCGTAAATTACCCTAAGTCAAACATGTAAGCTACATATTCATAAACATTTAAATCAATGGAAGTTCTCATGCCAAGTTTCTAATAATAAAAATGACAGTATTGAAGCAATTACTTGGGAAACCTGGCAGGAAAAAGTGAGCGAAGAAGACAGTTGGTAAAGTTGAATAACGGAGCACATTGCATGTTACGTAGGATTCAGGCAAAGAAACCGCCCATGCCTGAATCTTCTAGGACATTGGTCAGACAGTCCTTCATCCATGACCTCACATGCAGAGCTCCTTCACCATCGCTGACTTCGTGTCTGAGCCCCAGAAGCCAATAGGCACTTCTTGGGATAGTTCCCAAATAAGGGACTTTTCTTCTCCTGCTGAAGAGGCAGGTCTGTCTGACCACTGGAAATCAGGAAAGGTTTCCCTTGGAAAAGTCTCCAACAGAGTGATGCACTCTGATCTGTGTGTCTGAGGAGTAAATGAGATTTGCAGAGTGCCCAACCATGATCAGTTGCTTCCTTTCTTGCCTCATCTTAATAAACTTTGAATAGCATTAGGAAGATGTTGCCGTATTTCGGTAATATCACGAGTCCCTA